CTTTCTGGGTCAGCTCCTCTGCTATTGGTCAATAGACAGGAAGGACCATTCATAAGGAAATGTAAATACAGGAGAGAAACGTAAAAGCAGCACATGGAAATAAAAAGCATCAAGAGAAAAAAATATAAAAATATATAATTAAATATAAGAGACACAGATGCATCTACAAGTAATAAATAAATAAAAGTTTTATTAATTTATTTTTTAAACAGTAAAATGGAAATTATGTTCCAAAGTATATAATTTATTGTAACCAAGCTGGAAAAATAACTTAGAAAGTCAGTAAAATTATAAAACATGATGTAATGGTCTCCATTTTAAATTTATTTGGTGCTTTTGAAGTGTATTTATATATTTATTTGTCCATAGGCCTATTTCTGCTTTTATTTCTATTAAGTCAGATTTGAGCAAAGAGTGTAAACCTCTGGGTTTTTATCTGAATATGTATGATTTCCTGCACGCTMTTAAGAGTTCAAGAAATGTTAGATGTTTTGGTCTAAACGGGTTAATTCGACCTCATTTATCTATAGTTATTTTTTTTAATGTCTGCTTCATTCATATTGAAAGAAAAACCTCCCCTCTCTGCCCCTTCACTCTGTTTTACACACATCTGATTTAATTCCTACATGTCACCATTTGGATCTCATTAAAGCTTAACTGACTCACGGGTTGTGTGTAGAAGTCACCGGAACTCACCGGGAGCTCGGAGGGCAGAGGACAGATCAAATGACAGAGTGCCGAAGAGCAAGAAGGAAACCTGAAGACAGTCTCATGTCTCCGGTCATCTGCAGCAGCAAACTTTGCTCCTCTTCATCAGAATCAGCTCCCAGCTCGGTTGTTTCCTCCTCTTCTTCACGTCGCACTTGTGGCTGTTGTTAAAGCGTGACTCCCGGCGTTTTCAGTGCTGCCAACACCTCTACCTGCTGCAGGAGAGGTGTGCGTGTGTGCGTGTGCGTGTGCGTGTGCGTGTGTGTGTGTGCATGTGCGTGCGCGCGTTCTTGTATTTACAGTCTTGTGAGGCCAATTTTTTGGGGGCGAGTGGTAAAGTTTAGTTCATTCATTCTCAAAAAAACAAAACATTTTCACATTCACAAATTAAAAAATATCACAATATATTTTTTTGTGATAACTGTTTGAAAAAGGAGGAACTTATTTAATCCTGCCCCTTTTTATATATACAGTATGTGTATCTTATTTTCTACAAGTATTTATTTGAAGAAAATAGTCTTTATGAGATTGGAGTTTGTTTTACTCTCTCATCCTCCAAAATATAGCCATTAAAATAACTTTTTTTAATATCTTATTTTAAACTGAGTTATGC